CCCCCCCCCCAGCATGTCCCACACTCCCATCCTCATGTCGACCCTGGCCAATGCCTGCCGCGGGCCGCTCTACGGCGGCGGGCTGTCGATCATCCTGCCGGAGCAGATGGTCGACGCGTCGCACTTCCGCCCGGTCCCCGACAACCAGGAGGTCTTCCTCTCGCCGCCGCTGCATGTGAGCGGCCTGCCGGAGAACCCCTGCCAGGAGGGCCTCCCCGGGTCGCTGATTGTGGAGCTCCTGGAAATGTCGGACCTGTCCTCGATCCAGGCCCTGCAGGAGTCCGGGCAATTTGCCGAGGTCTTTGCCTCGCTGCAGTCGCGGCCCTCCTCGCAGTCGCGCACCGCGGCCATCGTCAACTTCTGCGACCTGGCCCAGCATGTCGGGTGCAGCTCGGTGCAGCTGCGCGGCGAGGTTGACTGCAGCCTCGGCCGGGCAGACCTCGACAGCCTGCTGTCCAGCGCGCCGGTCAACCTGCTGCCGGTGCTGTGCGTGTGGCCCGCCACTGGCCGCCCCATTCCCCCCCCCCCCCCCCCCCCCCCCCCTGCGTGGCCTTCCTTTGCCTCGGGCCGCGCGCCGGTGCCCCGGCCGGCCGGCTGTAGCATCGCCACTGACGCGCCCCACCTCCGGATGCATTCACACGCGCGCGCGCGCGCACACGCACGCACGCACGCACACACGCACACACACACATGCCCATCGGCCGGTGGGTCGTACAGGCACAATTCCCAGATCGAGGGGCATATCATCGGGGGGACGCACTTTGTTGCGCCGGACGAGCGCCGCGGTGGGCCCGAGGCCTTCTCCGTCACTCTGGCCGCCGTGCGCGTGGCCGCCCTCGGGACCGATATCATCTTCATCTGGAGCCGGCCCGTGCGTGAGACGCTCGCCGCCGGCCGGGCGCGCGCCGCCTTTGCCGCGGGCCTCTTGCGCTTTGCTTCCCTCTCTCCTTCCCCCCATGTCTGGCTGACAACTCGCTCGCTCTTTGTTTGTTGTCTCCCCCCCCCCCCGCCTTTCCGCGCAGCTGGCCTGCCCCAACGACCTGACCGAGGAGATCATTTGCGACGACCTGAAGTTCATGCGGACCACGGTCAACTCGTTGATGATCCACGACTGGGACATGTTCTTCCCGGATGGGCCGCCGACCGTGGATGCTGCCAGCGCTGGCGCTGGCACCAGCTCCCCCTAGGGAAGGGGACCAGGCGCCTCCCCCTCCTCCCCGCCCTGCGGCTGGCCTTCTGCTCCTCCCTCGTCTTCCTCCCTCCCTCTCCCTGCCCTTGCCCCCCTAGCGCGTGCCTCCTGCTTCTCCCGGCGCACGCTGCGCAGGCGGGCGACCGAGGACGGGCAGCCGTCCGCGCGCGGCTCGCACAATATACCATCTGCCCCTTTCTCCCCAGCCTGGCCATCTGTCCCTGCCGCTCCCCCCCCCCTCTTGGCCTCTCCCATCTGCAAGCGGTGGAGCTCGCCCCGCCAGGGCCCGTGCCACCAGCAAAAGAGCATGCCACGCAAGGGCCGGCGAACCGTGACCAGGCTGCTTGACCCGAGTGTTGCCCCCTCGGATCGAGGGGGGTGGCCATCCCCACACAGTGGGCTTCCCCGCCGACGGGGAGGGGCTGCGCTACTGCCACCCCACTCGGGGGACGAAGCTGCCGGCACAGGGCGTGTGGGGCTTCTTCAACCGGCCCTGCTAGATGCCAGGTGCAGAGTGCCCCTGTTGCAAGACCAGAGCGGGGGGAGGGGGTGGAGACCGGCCGTGCCAGCGGCCTGGCCTTTCTGCAATGGGAGACCCGGCGGGCGGGAGCAGCAAGAGCGGCGAGCTGTCATCACGTCCCCCGGCAGTGTGTGTGATCGGTGTGCCAGTGTTGGTGGTGATTCGACCATCAATGGTAGCCATTGTGCCAACAACATGTCGACAAAGATCTCCACTGAAAAGTGCCTCGAAAATCACAACCGGATATTCAGCATATGTTTCCTAAACAGATCAGAATAGGATGGCACAAGGGCGTGCACCCAACCCCGAGAGGCACTTTCCCGCCTTCTCGTCAAATTACTTTCCCTCGTCACCGTTTTCTTTTGGCCGGGCGTTAGTCGATCGATGTAAATTTGCCCGACCGCGGCGGCGGCCGGGATGCGAGGCCGAAGCCCCGACCGGGGAGCAGCGTCGCCGGAGGAGGGAGGGGGTGCCCGGTCGCGGCGGTGGCCCGTCCCAGTCAGAAGGGGCACAGGGCCGTGAATGTGGGCTGGCTGCTTTTCTTGCCGCCCGCCGGGGGTGTGGCCGATCTCCCCCTTGTCATTTCCCCGGCCGGGAGGGCGCCCGGGCGCGGCGCCGAGCAAGATCCCCCCCCCCCTCCGGCGAGCTATTTGACGATGCGTGCCCGGGGTGAGTGCGTGTGCGTGGCGCGCATCCGCCAGCATTGCCCGAGACCGTAGCCCCCCTCCTTGCTTTCCCTGCCTTTTGATTTCCCCACCCCTTGAAGCCCCCCTTTTTTGATTGCCCCCTCCCTTCCTCCTTCGCCGGCTATCGCCTCACCGCCGCGTATGACCGAGAGTGTGGTCGAGCGGGCGGCCGAACCGGCCGGCGAGCGGGCGGAGCCGGATGTCCCGAGCCCCGGGCCCGACTTTGCCCCCACTCAGCCGATTCCCGCCCGGCGATTCTTCGTTGTCGAGTTCCCCGCTCGCGTGAAGAACCCGGACCGAGCCATCGCCTGTCTCGGTGGCCCGGTCAAGCTGGGCCAGGTGCGCCTGCCCCACTCGTGTTGTCTGGCCCGCTCCTCGGGGGGCAATCCCCCCCCCCCCCCCGGGCCGGGGCGGTATTGCATGCTCAGTGCCCTGACCAATTGTGCCTCCCCTGGCTGCCGGTGCCGACATCCGCGCAGACCATCAGTGCCAGTGATGCCTTCCATGCGAGCCGCGAGGCGGCCATCGGCATGGCAGTCCCCTCATCCGGGCTGAGCCTGGCGTCGCTCTTTCCGAAGCTGGCGCTGGCCGGGCCGGTTGACCCGGCGGCCGGGTCCGGCCCGGCGACAGCATCGGCAGGCCCCGGCGAGCCCCGGGGAATGCGTGCTGATGAGACGCCGGCGGCGTCGGCGACCGCCGCGGCGACCGCGGCGTCGGGCATCTCCCGGCGTGACCTCCCCGAGCTGTGGGTGGACTTCACCGCGGAGACCATCCCCACCGAGCCGCCCAATCCGCACCTGGCCCACTGGATTGCCTCGAACCTGGGGTCTCATGGGTTGGAAACCCTGCGGCAGTTGCGCCAGGTGCGCCGGTTTCCTTGCTGCCCTTGTTGCCTCCCTATCTCTGCCCGTCCTTCGTCCGCTTCCGGGGCGCCTCGCCACTGACCACCGGCTCCCGCGTGCCCTGCCGGAATGCCGACTGTGCTGGCCGTGGCGCGGCGACGCGTTCTCTTCTTCGGGCTAGCTCTTCGAGGAGCGGCCGATCTGGCTGCGGAAGTCCCTGTTCGGGCGGCTTCCTCGCACCGACACGCGTCTCTTCAAGCAGTATGTCCCCATGTGCAGTCATGCTGTTGTATCTTTGTCATGCGGTGCCCCTGCTGACCGTTTGACCGGGCGGCCCGAAAGACTCATCTCCCTGGTGGCATACACCTTCACCCGGGGCCCGTGGAAGTTCTGCTGGGTCCGGTTTGGCTATGACCCACGCAAGGACCCGGCATCGCGGCTGTGCGTTTCTGCTCGAGATTGGTTCCTCAGTGCTGGCCTCCCTCCTCGGCGCCACTGACCCTGTGTCTTCTGCCCTTGCCTTGCCTCTTCCGGCTGCCTGTGGCGACCCACCCGCACCCGCGCCCGCACCCGCACACATAAATGCACATGCATGCAGCTACCAGCGCCTCGAGCTCCGAGACTGGGAGTGGCGCTCGCATCGGGGCCGTGGCCGGGGGCGCGGCGGTGCGGCCCTGGCTGCCACCCTGCGGGCCGCCTCGCACCGAGCACACTCCCCGGTCGACGAGGAGATGGACGACCGGATTGATGCGGCCACGTCCTCGGCCGCCGAGCAGCTGGCCAGTCTCCGGCACCATCCAGCTCGGGTGGACGATGGGCCGGGCGCCCTGGCCGACGGACCGGGTGCCCCGATCGACGGGCCGGGCGTCTCGACCGACGACCAGGCTGCCCCGGACTCGCAGACCGGCGGCGTGGTGGCTATCAAGGGTCGTGGCTCGCCGCCAGCCCCTCCGACCGAGGGGCCGCCCGATGCGCTGATCCTCGGCCCGAATACCCCCAGCCGGCAGCTCCAGTCGGCCTACCAGCTGTGTGACATCACGGTCGAATCGATCCGTGAGCTGATCAATCTGTCGACCGTGGTTCGGGATACCTGCGATGTGCGTGTGTCTCGCCCTGTCCCCCTGTCCGTCTGGCGCATTTTGACCCTCTGTCCATGCCTTTGTCTCCCCCACCTTTCATACGCGTCTGTATGTTTGTGTGTGTCCCTGCCTACTTCTGCCTCTGTCTCGGTCTCGGTCTCGGTCTCGGTCTCGGTGTCGGTCTTTCTTTGTTTTTCTCCCTCTCTGTCTTTCTCTCGGTCTCTCTTTCTCTCTCTCGGTCTTTGTCTCGGTCTCTCTCTCTCCCTCCCTCTCTCTCTCTCTCTCTCTCTCGGTCTCTCTCTCTCTCTCTCTCTCTCGGTCTCTCTCTCTCTCTCTCTCTCGGTCTCTCTCTCTCTCTCTCTCGGTCTTTGTCTCGGTCTCTGCGCCCGTGTGTATGATTGCGCGCGTGCGACGGCACATTCAATGTCCATTGCCCTCTTCCGCCGGTGCAGGCCCGTACCGGCTGGTACATCGAGGAGGCATATGGCATGATCACCAAGCTCTGCCGGATGCGCATCACCATGGGCCCGGCCTTTGCCCAGGAGACCAGCGTGCGCGACACGCTGATGCTCTTCCAGGCGGCGGCCGCCGCCGCATCAGGAGCCGGGGGCGACATCCGGGCGTCCAGCAGCGCCGGCGGCTTGGGCTCCTCTAGCTCTTCGCCAGGAATGCCAATGACGGAGGCCACCTCGCCGGCATCAGGCGGCATCCTCGGGTCGCCGGCCGACCGCGCTGACATCGAGTTCCCCACCTTCGACGAGGAGGAGGAGGACGACGAGGAAGAGGAGGAGGAGGACGATGATGAGGAAGACGACGAGGAGGAAGAGGAGAACGACGACGACGACGACGAAGGGGAAGAGGACGGTGCCGCGGCCACTACCGGCAGCTTCTTGGAGCCTGGGGCATCGGCCGACGCCGGGGCCCGGGGGTCCCTCACCTCGGGCCGGGCACTGGCCGGCATGGGGTCCATGTCGCTGCCGGCCGGGCTGTCCGGGGCCCTGTGGCTGGCGTCTCAGGGTCCACCGGCCGCGGTGCCCACCGATTCGGCTCAGACCGTGAGCGCGCTGCAGGCCGCCTCGATGGCCATCCAGGCCGGCATGCCTGGCTCCACGTCGCCCGTGCTGGCCGATGCGCCGACTTTCTCCTCGGTGGCGGCCGCCGTGAAGGCGGCCACCGAGCTGGGCGCCGACGGCGAGGACGACGACTTCCGGCCGTACGATGTCTTCGGTGACGATGGCGACCCGGACGAGGAGGATTCCGAGGAGGAGGAGGAGGACGACGAGGACGACGACTCGGCCATGATCTTCTGAGCCCGGTGTTGGCTCTTTTTTTTTTTCTCGTGTCCCCCCCCCCCCGCCCGTCCGCGGCCTCTCCCCTCCGCCGCGCTCTCCAGTCTGGGCGCGGAGGAATAAAAGCACCTGCCAACGCTGATCCTTCGGTGGCACCTGGTTATTGCATGGTCCGGCCGGGTCCCGCGCCGTCGGCGGAAGGGCCGGCGGGCGGTTTCCCCCCTGGCGCGTCTGCCGGGCGTTCCTGGGCCCTCTGTCTCTCCCTCTCCCTTCCGGGCCCGGAGAACGCCTGCGAGGGGGGGGGGGGGGGGGGGGGGGGGGGGGGG